ATCAAGTCTATCCCAGACACCAGGCACAGACAAGACTGTGTCTCAATTTGCACCTAACCTGCTGTTTTGGTTAGCCATAGACCACCAAGCCCTGCTGACAGAGTTGTGTGGTTGACTGGGTTGCCCTTGGTTTCATGGGAGCCCCAGCCATCAACTACTGCCCCTATCTCTGGGCTCTGGGAAGCTGCAGGAGGCCGATGGGGAATGTAAACAAACCGCCATCCCCGCAGTGATTTGTGACAAAATGAACAGACCAGAAGTCACCTGTGGGTGGCCTAGGCATGTTAACCAAGGGGATAGTAGCTTTTAATCAATTCTGCAGCAGTGGGAGCCCTAGCATGGGCAGCTCAGGGTCCCCAGCAGCTTGGTAGCTGTCTCCCAGGATTTGGCTTCTAGGAGGAAGGCTTTGTATCTAAGAGCCTGGCATCATTCAGGAAGGTGGGAAGTATCCTGTCAGCTCCAGGATCCTTTGCTTTGATCCTGTGGGGCTGGAGCTGCTCACTCGGAGGGAAGGGAACCAGGGCTGGGCTGAGGGTGCAGCACACTGTGACCCCCCAGCACAGCCTCATCTCCTCCCCTCTAATGGGCTTTCCATGGAGTCAGCTCCTAACCTGCTCCCAGGGTGACTGGATAAATCAGCTGCTCCTCCCAGGACCTTGGGCTCTAATTAATGTCAGCTCATTAACGAGATAACAGCCATTTATTACCTTGTCTCGCTGGCTGCTGATTAACCCTTCCCCAAAGCAGGGGGTGGCAATGGCACGGGGCAGGGACAGCAGGGACGGGTGATGTCTCTGCAATGACGCCCAGGGCACCTATTGAGGGGGGACAGATGAAAGGATGGGCAAGGAGGACCTTTCCAGGTCTGCAGAAGTGGCTGAGTGAGGAATGGATGGGACAAAGTGGTGTGGCAGGGGGTCCGCAGATTAAAGCTGCCAAGCACCTGGGTTGTCACCATCCCTGTGCCTCAGTGTCCCCAAGTGGCCTCAGAGAAGAGCACAGCCAAGACCCAGCACTCAGCCACGCGGTCCCAAAGTCTGGCCTGGCAGAGCAGTGAGGCGGGGGTATCTGCCCCAGGGAGCTGGGAGCCATCTCTGCCCTTGACCTGTGTCTGGGCAGGAGCAAGGTGCTGAGGTACAGCACCTTCTTGCAGCAGCATGCTGCTGGGATAATGCTCCCTTACATCAATCATGCTGCTCGGTGGCTCCCTATTAGCGGGAACAGTGGCTGGTTAATCAGGCTGAGGGCTTCGGCTCGTTAAGCTGACACCTCTGTTGTGAGAGTGAGCCATGGGGGCGCACAAGGTGCCACTTATTTATTTTCTTCTTTCCCAGGGAATATATTAAACAAATTAAATTCCTGGAGTGTTGGCTCAGCACAGATCGCTCTGCGCCTGTTCCCAGCGCCAGCCCCCATTGCTGCTGCGGAGCCCCCTCTGCAATAAGACACAGCCCCTCTGTTCCCACATTGCCCACATTCTGTGCTGGGACTACTATGTGCACGGTCTCTGTGCCCAAACATCCCCTTCACCTTCTTCAGGATCAGTCACCTCCTCAAAATCCAATGCCCTGGAGGCTTCAGATGCCAATGCCTTACTGCTGGCTGCATTTCAGCCCTGCTCCAGCTCTCTTTGGGATGATGAGCATGGATGGGGGGCTTGGACCAAGATCATCATTTGATTACTTATTGAGCATTTGCAGCTCTACCCTCTGCCACCACCTTTGCCTTCCCCGTCCTCCCTGCAAAACCTCTGGCAGCCCACTCCATCCCACTTCATCTCATCCCATCTCATTGCATCCAACCCATCGCATCCATCCCATCCTATTGCATCCCATCTCAATGCAACCCACCTCATCCCACTATCCCCATCCCACCCCATCCCACTCCACCATGCCCATCCCTTCACAGACTCTGATCCCTTCCCCTCAGGTGCAGTCTGTCAGCACCTCCTCAGCTCAGGAGCAGTCCCACCCTTTGCTGGCGAGGAGGAGGTGGGGTGGCTCCCTAGAGGTTAGCAAAGGATTAGAAATAATTTAATTTACCTCCCTGTTTGGGCACATTTGATGAGCTGAAAGGCCCCTTGTCAAGCAGCAAATCCATCTTCCTCCAGCTTTACATCAAATTTCATTCACTAATTAGAAACTCCTGCCCCAGAGCGTGCTGTCTCCGCCCTGGCCACCCCTTCTCCCCACCAGCACCATTATGAAAATAAATCGTTCCATTAGGTGCATTGTTGTGGTGGTGGGGCCCAGTTATTAGAGCGGGAGGGAGGGCATGGGGTGATTTATTAAGGAAAGGGTCCTGATTAAAGCCTTCCTCATCCCGCATGCTCGCACAGTGTGTCCCGCTGTCCTGCGTACCCCACAGCCGTGGGGAAAAGGGCAGAGTGGCACGAACAGTGCTGCAGAGATCAGGGTCCTGCCCCTGCAGCTGCAGTGCTCCAAAAAGTCATTAAGAGAAATTAAGCTAATGGAAGTGAGATTGGAGGCTGGAGCAGACTGGAGCTGCAGCATCCGGTGGTGCTGGGGGGGGATGAACCCCTTCTTACCCTGAGATCCCCCTGCATGGGAACTCGGCCCCACTCTTGTCCCACAAGCAGAAGATGCTTGTGGGGTGCTCACTTCTTCCCTATGGCAATGGCTCCCGAACCCCACTGGGAGCCCAGTGCTGGGCTGGGATGGGAGCACGGCCGCAGCAGAAGGCTCTGGAGAGAGGGACAGACGGGAGGGCCGGGGAAGGGGCTGCCCCCCACTCTTGTTAACATCGTCTGGCCTTGTATCCTTTTCAAGGCTTTGAATAGGGGGTGGGACCTCTCCTCCCCTGATGTGGGGCCGGGAGGGGGTTAAGGTGCTCAGTCAGTGCTGGATGGGTGTGGAACGGCCGTGATGTCCCAGATGGCGACGTGTGGGGGGGGTTCCCCCACCGCCACATGCTCTTCCTCTCTCCCCCGCCCACAATTCATATGGTAATGTGGACAAATTGATGGGGAGACAGCCATTGTGGTACCCTCCCCGACCCGGCCCTTCTGCCGGCCACCCACCGGCATCCCCATCCATCACCAAGCAGCGGCATGGGATGGAACAGGGCACCAGTGGGACCCCACCACCAGAACTGGCATCGTTTTGTCCTCACTGTCCTTGCCATGGGGCTATATGCAGCTATGGAGGAGCACATGGGGCTTCAGGAGGAGAAATAATCCAAAATCCTATTTCTGGATCCCCTCCCTTCCCCTTGCTGCCATGATCTGGGACCCTCCCCACACTTCCCTGCTCCCACCCTATGGGAGGTGGGACCTCCTTAGGCAGCCCCCTGTACTCACAGCATCCTCTAAAGGGGCAAAGACCATTTCCACCATGCCCACCGATACCCATCTGGTTTGGCAATGCCCACAGAACCACAGGGCACAACAGGCACAGGAGGAGTCAGGCTCAGCACTGGGCTGGTGCTGAGATGGGGGGGAAAGCATGGCCAGGGTGTCTCCTCTGCCCCACAGCTCCCGCCTCAGGCTCCCGTCATGCAGCCCCTGATTGAAATCTCACTCCATAAAGCGCCTCTCCAAGGCCTGACCCCAGGGCCCTCCGGGGACCAATTTGTCCTTCCCTGTAATAAGAACCTAATTAAATTAGCCATGCTGCCTCATAGAGCCCTTAAATCAGACGTTGCCATTGGATTGCTGTACACTCACTGTGCTATGGGGTCTCGGGAAAAACCCTGCTCCAACTCCCCTATGGGATCGAGGCAGGGATATGCGGTGGATATGGGCAGGGGTGCACAGACAGACAGGTATGGGCAGGGCAGGAATGAGGAACTGCTGGGATGGTCCCCGCAGTGAGCACGGGGCATGGGGTGGGATGGAGAGGGGATCCCATCAGCTTAGGTGTACCCTACATAGAGCATCTCTCTCCCAGAGCTGCCAGCCCAACTCAGCATGCTTTGCTCACCCTGGGGGCTGCAGGCTGACCACATTGCACCCATCATGGGGCTGGCTCCCCCCACACCACAGCTCACAGTACCCTCCTGAAAGATGACAGATTTATTGGGCCATGTCCCCGACCAGGAAAGGTACATCCAGTGAAGAGACAAAAGTACACCTGCTGTCAGCTTGCTTCACCCTGGACAACAATCACAATCAAAACTGTGCTTTAAAATAATCTTTAAATAATTTCTGCTTTTCATTAAAAAAAAAAAAATAATAATAATCCCCCCTCCCAAATAAACCAGCTTGCCCAACCCTCCCGTTCCCCTCTTACCCTGCACGCGCCCATGGTGCCTCTCGGCTATGGTACATACAAAGAGCAGATAAATAAATAAAGAAAGATGTGTGACTGTGGCTGCGGCTCTGATGGGACCCCCCAGGCCTCCAGAGCGGGCAAGCAGCAATGAGATACCCTGAGGGTGTGGGGTGCTGGGGTGGGAGGGCAGCACCTGGGGGGTTTATAGCATTGGGTGCAAATGCAGGGATCTGGGGCTGAGCCTGGGGGAGGCGAGGAGGGAGATGCTTCCTCTGTGCTGCTCCTGCAGGGCTGCATCCCCGGGATGCAATCCCAGAGCAGCTCCCCCATGCTATTACACTGTCCCTGCAGTCAGGATGGCTGTGGTGCTGCCTTTGGGTCCTGTTTCCAAGCCTGCTGCCCTGGCAGCACCCACGCAACCAAGTCATGGGTCTTGTGCCACATCCACGCCATCCTTTCCATACAAGGCACTGGTTTGGGTGTGCCTCTCTGTTGGTCCCAGTACCCACATTCCCTTCCTTCCAGCTGCCACAATCCAGGGATGGGAATGGCATCACCCCACAAAGCACCCAGAGCTCCCTCCCCAAGCCTCCCCATAGAGCTGCAGCTACCAGGAGCCCTGGGTACAACCTCTGGTCCCCACTCCCCAGCCCTGCACACACACACGCACATCGCACGCACACACACAAATAGCAGCATGTGGATCCCACCAGCAAAGGGGCGAGGAGGGGATGTGCAGGGCGAAGCCCCCACAGCTTGGGTGTGGATGCAGCCCCCCCAGCCCAATGTGGGCACAGCTGGGGGTGGGTCACCGCACTGCCACCTCCTCTGCCGGCACACCCTCAGCTCTGGGCCTGGGGCACCCCCAGTGGGTGGAAGCTGTCGGGGGGGCAGCAGCATCCTGCCCAAGCGGTAGAGCAGCCCTGAGTACCAGTGCACACCGTCACCCTGCACCCCCGGTCCCCCTAGCAGGCTGTGGTAGAGCCGCAGTGGCCAGAACGCCATCTGTGCCAACTGCTGCTCCCGCACCAGGGCAAAGCATGAGGCCACCACGTCGTCCACCACCAGCGTTCCGTGTTGCGTCAGCGGGGCATAAGCCCCCACGTCCGTCCGACCCCGCACCCCCACCACTTCGGCGGGCTGCAGCCCCCCTGAGCCCACCGCCACCAGCACGAAGTGTCCAGGCTGCACATGGCTGGCGAAGGTGGGGCGGAATTGGGTGGCAGGTGTTGAGGCATTGTCTGCCACGAAGAGCAGGTGGGTGGGCGTCAGGGCCAGGCGCCGGGGTGGCTGCCGCGTCTCGATGACATGGAAGGTGGTGAGGGCACGCGGCTCCTTGTCCAGGAAGGCGACGAAGTTGCTGAAGGTGGGCCGACCTGCCCCGTCCATCGCCAGCACCCGCTGGCCTGGCCGCAGTGCCCACAGCGGAGTCCGGGCACCGTTCTCCAGCGTCGCCAGCGCCCGCCCAGGGAAGCAGCCGCCCGTCTTCGCGGCAGCCGAGTGCTCTGCACAGGGAGAGAGCAAAGGAGAGGGTTACCCGTCTTCAAGACCCCTAGCATCACCCCACAATGCATGGAGGCCCCGTGCTGCCCGGCAAGTATAACGCTGCCCCGGCATTGCCGATGCGCACAGCTCCCTGCACACAGCGCCACCTCTGCCACCGCGCTGCCAAGAGTACCGAGCTGTACCTGCCAGTGCCTGCGACCCACTGCAGCGCTGCTCTGCAAAGCAGGGCCCCCAAACCTGCTGGCACAGGGAGCGCCCAGGGCAAAGGGCAGCCCCGGGGCAAAGGGCAGCGTGAACACTCAAGGCAGCGGGGGAGGCACATAAAGCTGCAAGCCCTGCACTGTGTGCCCAGGGTGTGTGGGAACTGCCTTCCTGTCCCCTGCCTGCCTGGGTACCACTCAGGGATGCGGCGAGGAGCAGCGGTGGGGTGCAGCATCCAGCCCTACATATTGTCCCCATCCCACACTGCAGCCCCCTCCTCCTGCCTGCTGATCACTCCACCCTCCCTGCACCCCCTCTCTGAGCTGCAGGGAGGTGTCACAGCTCACAGCCAGGACAAGCCACCAGGCTGTCAGACAGGGAACACTGTCCAACCCAGTTAGAGAACGCTGGCTTTCCAAGGTGTGGTGTTCAGCCCCCGTAGCAGCCCTCTTTCCCAGTCCTCTCATGTTCTATGTGATATCCTCCCACCGCTGGGGCACCTTGCCCAGGATCCAGCCCCAACCCACTCTGCTCCCAACCTAACCCAGCAGTCTTCCCCCAAGATCGCACAGCCCCCAGCCCCCAGCCCCATGAAGAGAGTCACCCATCTGTGGGACAGAATCCTTTTATTGCTCAGATGAGGTGCAGTGTCTGCTCTGCGCCTGTTCCCAGCAAGGGATAAGTCCCCAGTCCTGCACCCCACATCCCCAGGCAGGGGCTGGCAGGAGAATGGGGGCACCTGACAGGAGCGGAGGCACAGGCACTGGGCACGGAGGGGTGCGCGGGTGCAGGGGGACCCAAAGGGACACAATACATACACCAGGCCACGTGGCCATCCGTACAAAAATAAAAGCCATTTACTACAAGGCAGCCCGGCTGCCCTCTGTACACAGCGCTGGGGGGTTGGGATCTGCACTGCACAGCCTCCGCCACACAGCCCCGGGGTTTCCTTGGCTTTAGGGATAAATACGGGGGATCCACATTCATGGGAGATTGCTGCTGTGAGCGATGAGGCTCCGACCTGCCCCCAAAAGCCCTCCAGGAGCTCGGGGCCCTGCTCGCGGCATCTGTCTTCCATCAGTCCGGGGGCACTCAGAGCCTCGGTCCTTTTCTAGGGGCACAGCCCCACTCCTCAGGCCAGCCCCCACGCACCGGGGTCACGGTCCTCGCTCCGGAGCCCGGCCCCGCTCCTGTGGCCAGCCCCACGGGGCACCCCGGGATGGGGGAACCCCGACGCTTCGCCCACGCTTCGTCCCTCTGCTGCGGGGCCGCGTCGCTCCCTCTCTGCGCCGCGGTCGCCCCACGTCCATGGCGGGCCGTCCTGGCATCGGGGATGGGATCAGCGCGGGGGGACCGGCTGCCGTCGGGGGGCGTCGGGCCGCTGGGCGCGGGCTAGGGCGGTAGGACAGGCACAGTGCGCTGGGAGCCCGGCTCCGCGGGTGTGCGCGGCCGTGGGCGCACCCGGCGCTGCGGCTGTCCCCACGCACGCGCAAGCCCACGAGCGGTGCGGAGCTCTCCCGACGCGTCCCGGCAGCCCGCATGGGTGCCCCGCGCCGTGCGTGGGCCGCTGCTGCCCTCTGCCGCACGCAGCCAGCGCGGCCGGGAGGGGCCGGGGGTTGTGCGGGACCCCGGGCACGGCTCCTGTCCCCGCGGCGGCTCACCCCACACCGTCATAGCCTGCAGAATCGCTTTTCGCGGCACCGCCCGAGAAGCGAGCAACGCCAGCGAGCACAGCGCTCAGTCCTGTTCCCAGTGTCCCGCAGCCCTCAGCATCCCTCCACAGCAGGGGCCTGATTGCAGGACACCTTTCCGGAGCGTCCTTGTCCCACAGTGGCCATGGGACAACCCAGGGTTGGCTGCTGCGGAGAGCAGGGCTGGATGGGGACTGAGGGATTGCAAGGGTATGGGAGGCAGCAATGATGGGTACGTGGGGAGAAAAGGGTGTGTAGGGTGAGAAAAGGGTGGAGAGAGTGGGCTCTGTCAGGGAATTTGCCCCATGGCACTGCTGAACGCAGAGCTGTGCCTCACACCCGGCCCCACTGCCTGGCACAGCAATCCCCTAGCAGCACCCCATCAGCCAGTCAGGCCCACAGCACGCTGCAGCATGGGGCCGTCCCCCAGCCCCGCTGTCTTCTCCATCCTTACCTGACTTGACGGAGCAGTGGATGTGCGCCTTGGACTCGTAGTAGACCCAGTCAAAGCCGGCCTCCACGGCCAGGCGGGCAAGCATGCCATACTTGTTGCGGTCCCTGTCTGATGTCGTGATGTCCACGGCTCGGCCCTCGTAGTGCAGCGACTCCTCTGAGTGGTGACCGTCCTCATCCCAGCCCTCTGTCACCCGCAGCTTCACCCCTGGCCACTGGTTCATGACAGAAATGGCCAGGGAGTTCAGGCGGTCCTTGCAGCGCTGCAGGGTGGGGGGCACAGTCAGTAAAGGGCTTTGGGGTGGGCTGTGCTTCCATCGCTGCCCCAGGGGCACGGCAGCCTCACAACCTCACCCATCCCCTGCCCACATGGGGTGAGCCCATTTCCACATGTCCCTTACACAAGGGCTGAGGAACAACAACAGGTCCTCAAAGACTCACAGCTGGTGGCCATAGGGGCCAGGCAAGCAAGCTGTCTGGCTTTGTCCTGTTTTTTTCTCACCCCAAAGCACCCCTCGGAGATGCAGCCCTGTCCACTTCCCCCAGCACAGCAGCTCCACTCGCAGCTGTGTCATGGTGGGGACCAAACCTGGTCCATCTCGGCAGGTACAGCCTGCGCTTTAGGTCCCTTCTCTGACTGTGAGAGGGATGGAGATCAGACGGAAAAGGTGCAGAGAATGTGATATGGATGGTACTGAGGTGCTTCTGGATAACACAGGGTGGGTGGGCTATGACTGCACAGTGAGGGCTATAGGAAAAAAAAAAAGGACCAGATGTGGTCCCATACAAGGTAAGTCCTGGGAAGCATTAAATGACACAACAGGATAGCAGGCTAAAAGCAGACTGTGGGGGATGCTTCATACAGTCACAGCCCGGTGCTGGATCTCCTGCTGCAGAATGTCACACTGGCAGCAATACACTGAGGTCATGAGAGCACCATGGAGAGTGTGAAGCAAGGCCACAGACCTGCTGCTGGGTGCCAAGCGGCTCAGAAAGGCCCTCACACTGCAGGAGCTGTCCCAGTAGATTTGCCCTCTCCCTGTTCCCCATCACCTGTCCCTATCCTGGGGTGCTGCTCCAGGGGAACTCCACTTGCTCTTGGCACGGTGTGAGCCTCAGGGAGGGCAGTGCCCGGCAGGCCTTTGCTCCATATGGGACAGGGGAGCGCCTCTACCCTCGTCTCGTGGCTCCCTGGGCGTGGGGAGATAAGGCAGGAAGGTGCTGGACAAACAGTGCCCAGGGGAGGGGAGGAGAAGGGAGGGGAGCGACTTTTGTCCTCAGCAAGCACCAGCGCGGTGCCACTCTGTGCAGACACGAGGACTCCAGGGACCCCAGTGAGAGGGTTCGGGGCAGTGCCCTGCCGAAGTGAGGAGGCCCTCTTGTCATACTGCGTTGCTCCACGTGTCCCCTCACCCCCTGCTTTGGGACCCTCTTGTCCCCCTCCACCTTCCCGGTGCTCCCTACAGGAGACGCATGCGCAGACCGAGACCCTCCAACTTCTGTCCCCCGCCGGGACGCCGCCTGCTACCATCCCAGGGACCAGCCACCTTGTCCCCAGCGGTGTCCCCGCAGCGCAGCACCAGGCTGGCGGCGTCCCCGAACCCCGAGCCGGGCGGCCCTGCCTGTGCCCTCGGTGGCCAGCAGGTGTCAGAGCGGGTAGGGAGTAGGAGGGGACCGGAGGGCCGCAGGTACCGGCGGCGAGGAGCGACGGGAGGTAACAAACAGGGAGAGAGAGGGAGAGCAGGTGGGATGTGCAAGGAGCGGGCAGGGACGGGCAAGACAAAAGAAGACTCTGGGAATGTCAGGCTGTGCTGAGCGGAGAGCTGCTCTCTGCCACCCAGCACTGGCTTCACTCCTTTCTCATGCCCAGACTGTGAGCAGGATAGCGTCCCGTAGCAGAAGTCAAACGTTTTGGAAAGGACTGGAGGAAGGACACAGCTCCGGGTCAGGGCAGAGCCATCGGAAAACCCGGGACACTGCTGCGCCCATCACCTCAGCACTGGGATGCAATGAGCCACAGCCGCCCCCGAGCACAGAGCACTGCCAGGAGAAGAACGGTCACCCTACATCTGCCCCCAGGTGAGGTTTATCCCAGAGAAAGCCAAAAGTCCCACCGTAAGCTCCACATGAGCAATTCATCACCTCTGCAAAGATGGTCTCCAACCATGAGGGACTGCGAGGGGTGATGGGGAGAGATGTGGGGTGGGGACACTGGTGGGAGCAGGGGGCTGGGGACATTCCTGGGCCAGGCTGCGGGGAGAGGTGAGGCGAGCTCTGCTTCCAGCCTTATCTCAGCACCTCCGAGTGGGACCAGCAAGAGCAAACACACTGGAATTCTTGAGGAAGATGAAACGATAAAGTAAAGGCAGGCAGAGAGCAGCTCTACCCACCCCCTTAAGCAGGCAGCATCTTCCGGCTGCCTGGGACACCCAGACCCTTGGACTTGGGGAAAGAAAACAGGTTTGAAGTGAGTCAACAGCAGTAAAAGCCAGGGCACTGGGGGAAGGGATGAGGAGTTGGGTCAATGGCTTTTCCCAGCCCATGGCAGGGCACGGTGCATGAGCTGTTACGTCTGGGAGCATCTCCCACAGCCAGGGGCACAGGATGAGCCCAGAGGGCCGTGGGATGGAAGTGAGCTACCAGAAGTCATGCCATCTCCTCAGCAATGGAGACAACCCTCAGGACACTGTGGTACCCGCAGTACCCTTAGGTCGCAACAACTGGCAGAGCTCACTGCTTCCTCAGCATCCTTGGGCACAAAGATGTTCTGCATCGGGGCTGCAGGCTCCAGGGATTAGCAACTTACAGGGGGGACTCAACCCTTCAGCTACATTCCCTGGTCTGAAAACATCCCTGTGCCATAGCCCATGCCCTTGAGGACCAGCCCTTGGGGCACACAGGGTAACAGAACTGTCAAGCCAGCAACCGCGCTATTCTCCTTGTCACCAGCACCTCGGGCAGAGTCCATGGCCAGAGCCCGGCTCAGCTGCTGCCACCGGGGCCATCCCGCTCACACGCCCATCCCCAGCCCTGGGGTGCAGCAGGCACCTGTCTGCTCCCCGCCTCCCCCAGCAGCTCGCTCGGGCTGTAACCCCTCACTGAGGCCGATGGCCGGGTTTCTTATAGCAAGGCCGTGTGGCTCCTTATCTGCATTCCTGAAACCCTCAGGCATTCTCCTGGCAATATTAAAACACAGAGTAACCTTCGTCCAGCATCACCCCCTCCACCCACTGCCGTCCTCTGTCCACCCCCCTCCTTCCCACTGGCTCAGAGCACTTTGAAGCTGAATGCAACAGCAGAACATTTGCAACAACAGGTTGTTCCCTTCTCCATACCCAGGAGGGGCAGCCCTATGCCAGGCACCCTTTACCGTCCTACTCTGAACACGAGGGAACCTCCTACTCTGAACACTGAGGTATAGCACGGGAGACAAGGACAGCGAGTGGGATAAACTTGCTGCTCTGCCCACCCGTCGCCAGCACGCTGGGCTCCACGAGCTTATGCTGTGACCCCCAGTACGCAGAGCAGAGGTGCACAAATAGGATAGGCACAGCGGAGCAGGGGACTGCCAACCCAGGGGACAGTGGGACTCGGTTCGGGGGGATAGCAGTGCAGCACGCGAGCAGCTCGGGGGTACCAGGCACACCTTGCGGTGTAGCAGCCGTGGGTGCTGCCACCTCGGGGTCCGGGGTGCTGCCGGCTCCGGCTCCGACGCGCCCAGCCCCACCGAAGGGGCAGAGCAGCGCGGCGAAGCAGGGAGATGGATGCCCGTGCGGCACCGGGATGCCCGGGGCAGGATGGGGCGGCCGCAGCGCCGGTCTCCGCCTCCCGCCCGAACGAACGGGCCGTGCCGGCAGTCCGGTGCCCGCAGGTACCCGGCGCGGGGGGAGAAGCGGGCGGCGGCGTGGCCGTACCTGGGTCATGAGCCGGTCGGCGCCGGTGTTCTCCTCGTCCTTGAAGATGATGTCGGGGTTGTAGTTGGGCGTGAGCTCCTTGAAGCGCTCAGAGTTCCGCGCGATCTTGCCCTCGTAGCGCCCGCTGGCCCCCAGCGTCTTCTCGGGCACGTTGGGGCTGAACTGCTTGTAGGCGAGCGGGATGAGCTTGCGGGGCGGCCGGCGGCGGCTGCCCACCACCCTGCCCGGCCCGCAGCCGCGCACGGCCGGCGCCAGCAGCAGCGCGCACCCGCTCAGCAGCAGCAGCAGCCGCGCCGGCTTCATGGCGCGCCCGGCGGCCCCGGGGCGGCCCGAAGGGGGACCGGCGGCTCCGGGGGCCCCGCTAGGCTCGGCCGCCGCTCCCGCCGCCCGCCCCGGGGCTCCCCATGCGGCGCGCAGGTGCCGCTGCGGGTGCGGGCGCGGCGGCTGCCCGGAGCGCTCCGGCTGCCCGGTGCGGCGGCCGTCCGCTGTCGTGCCGCTCTGAGCTGCCGTGCCCCGGCGGCGGCAATAAATAGCGAAGGGCCGTTTGTTTTGGCAGGAGAGCGGCCGCTTGCGGGGCGCGGGGCGCGGGGCTCGGCGCTGCCGGAGCCCCCCGCGGTTTGCGCCCTGGCGGTCAGCACTGCGGGGCCGGGGCCGGAGTCGGAGCCGGAGCCGGAGCCGCCGCTGCCTCCGCTCCCCGGGCAGGAGTGAGAGGGGAAATTGAAGAGATCCGGGACCGGGAACCGCCAGGACCGCACCCTGCCCGTGTCCCTGCCTCCCAGCGCCCTCCCTCCCTCGCCTCCTCCCCGCGGAACCTGCCCCGGGCCGCTCGCAGCCTCCTCCCACCGGCCGAGCCCCGCAGCCCACCCCGCCACCTGCCCCTCGGGGCCGCCCCCGCCGTCCGCCCGGCCCGACGCCCCTCGCCCCGGGACGCCCCCGGGCACGAGATGGCACCCCCGGGCTCCGGCCCCCGCCGCGCCGCCTGCTCGCCAGGGGCCCGGGCCTGCGGGCGGGGATCAAACAGAGCAGGGAGGCAGCTGGTTGAAATTTAACCACAATATTCTCGCTCCCCATTGTTTCCAGGGAGGCCCGATATTTCCACAACAGGATTATGGCATCTGATTAACTCGCTGAGACAACAATGAGGGGCTGGGATGGGCTTCCCCTTCTAGCTGCCAAAAGGGGAAAGTAAATACAACACCCTGATTTCAGGAGCGAGGGTTCGCGAGGCCCCCCTGGTTCTCCCCCAGCTGCATGCCAGGGAGGGGTCCGGCCACACTCTGCTTGCACCCCTGCAAGTTTCCTATGTCCTTCCCAGGTGAGGCAGTGCCTTGGGATGGCCCTATACACACCGCCTTGGCGGGGATGGCCCCTCACATCCCTTGGGTGGGCACACTGGAGGGCCAGGCTGGAATAGCTGCAGGTCTGCGCTGGGTGATGGAGACAGAGCCATCCAGGCATTTGGATGCAGCCAGCAGCACCCGTGCGTTTGGGATGCTGCTAGCCAGCAGCTCCAGAGGACTGTTTCCTTTGCAGGATATACAGGCAGAGCAAAGTTGCCGAGAGGTGTCTGCATCAGGGTCAGAGCTTGCACGAAGCCCTGCCACAACCTGGGATGCGTGGTGTCCTGCTGCTCCCATATGTGATGGAGCAAGAAGCAATACCTACGGTCCCCAGCCCTAACACTTGCACATCTCGGTTGACTCTTCCAGAAGAGCATCCTACAGGAGTCAGCAGGAAGAGCAGAGAGCTGTCACAGCATCTCTCCTTGTGCCTTCCTCTGGGGCTGCAGGAAGGGCACAGCTCACCATACATCGCAGGCACAGGAGGAGCAGAGCCTGAGCTAAGGTTGAAGGCTGCTCTGCACTCCTGCTGGAGGGGCGGTCCCAGCTCCCTGCCTCTCTAATCCAAAGCCAGACTCTGCAGCATGTGTATTACATGTGCCTGTCCCCTGTCCAGCTCCAGACTGGCAGCAGCCTGGTTCTGCCCTCACTGGAACAAAATCCATATCCCCTGGAGACCCAGAGCTGCAAACAGGGAACTGACTTTGGTTGTGACTGTGGCACCAGTGGTCCCAGCACCCTGCATCAGCTCTGAGCACGGAAAGAAGTGACAGGCTTCTGCCCCTGGATGCAGAGCCTGCTGTATGTCCATGCAGCATGGCCCAACTCCTGCACGGGAAGTGGGACATGGGAGAGTTACCTGCTCATTAGCACTGCCTGGATATGAAGAGCAGCCCACCAGGAAGCACCCCAGGAGTGGGGTGGGACACTGCTGAGCTCTCCACAACCTCTTCCAGTGGGACTGACATCAACTGGGCTCAGCACTGACCACAGCATCCATATCCCAGTGCCAGCCTGTATACCTGCCGGCACATGGGGCAGGACCCCAGGTGTGGCTGGGCAGCCAGTGTAGGGGACTGTCTGCCCAGAGACTGGTGGAAAAGGGCGTTTGCAGCTGCAGCACTGGGGCATGGAGAGGAATTACCTTCCAGCATCTCCTGCAGCCGCCAGCTACTCTTAGGCACTTTCAGGACCAACCCCACACAGTCCTCCTGGCTGTGTCCTCACCTCGCTCTAGTCCCCCTTTCCTCCACTCTCTGGCTTCACCCCCTCAACCAATGGCACTGCAGCCTCCAGCCATCAGCATCCTGTGGATACCAAGCTGGTACCAGGCTGGCACTGGGCTGGCACCAGGCCCCGCAGGGCTGCCCGGAGCAGAGCACAGTGCAGAGCAAGCAGGCGGCGGAGCCGGGAGATGCAGTCTAGGTGGTGCTATTTCTCTATTTTTGCACTGGTTGGGTTTGGGATTTTCCTCTCCCTATTCGCTGCCTTGGTCGTCTTCTTCTCCTATCTCTTTTTTTTTTTTTTTTTCTTTTCCTTTTCTAAAAATACTTGACAGCGATTGAAAGGTCCCTTTAATCGAGGCCACAGAGCCCTTATTAAGGGCACGGGTCGGGGTGCTGGGCCGTGCCCGGCATAACGGCTTCATTAAACCCTGCGAAAACTAATATTTATGGAATCAAATTTATGGAGGCCGAGGCCGAACTTGTGGCCTTTAATGTGTGTCGGAAGCTCAAATCCAGCCGGCTCCAGGGAGGAGGGGGTGGGGACAGGGAAGGAGACCCCAGCGGGCCAGGCTGGGACAATGCGAGGTGACACTCCCCGCAGCTGGCATCAACCTGGGCCGGGAAGGCACCTTGTCCCCATTCTGGAGCCATGGGGCTGGGGGTATTGGCAGAGCTCTTTTTCCCACTGACAATTCTGATCTGCTTTCATCTCTGCTCCTGCAGCCCATCCTTCCCATGCCCTGGGACAGGATGTGTTTCAGCAGCAGGTCCTTGCCTGCAGCTCATGCCCTCCAAGCAGTGCTGACCCATGTTGGAGATGGGGCACAGCCCCAGCTCTTTCACCCAGGAGAAAGCAATGTGGTTGGGAAAGCCCAGAGAGCCCCAGAGCCCCCGTTGCCCTACAGCCCACAGGCGCCTGTTCCAAAGGCTCCTGGGTTGTACTCAGACAGGAGAAGGCAGGACACAAGGGTATAGGCACACGATCCCCACTCCATGGCTTCCCCTTCCCATCACCCACTCTACCCCGCATGCTGCTCCCTTGGAGAGGAAGTATAAAAACCTCTCGCCCTGGGACTGGCCAGCCATGGCCCTGCAAAGGCCCTTTCATTCCCCTTCTACAGACACAGGGGCTGCTCCGGATGTTTTTGTTTCCCCCTTGCTGCCCTTGAGAGAAAGCAGTGAGCCTGCGGCCAGCCCAGCCCTGGGGAGCCAGGGGCAGGCAGGGGCACGGGACCCTGCTGCTATTTTAGGAGCTGGATTGGGTATGGGAGTGGCTTCCCAGCTTCAAAGGGAAGCACGTGGAGACAAGAGCTGGGAGAGGAGAGGAAGGGTTAATGCATACACGGAGGGATGAATGGATGGATGGACGGATGGACGGATGGACTGAAGGATAGAGGGAGGGAAGGAGGGAAGGAGGGATGATCGAGGGATGCAAGGAAAGATGAAGGAAAGAATGGATGGAAGGAGGAATGGATGATGAAGAGATGGAGGGAAGGATGGAGGGAAGAATGGATGGAAGGATGGATGGATGGATGGATGGATGGATGGATGGATGGATGGATGGATGGA